TCGAGAAAGGCGCGGAAGTCGTGTTCGGACGGCGCGGACGTCTCGCGCAGGAAGGCCTCGAAGTCGCGCTCGATTTGCTTCAACTCCTTATTCCTTAAGTCGCGCAACACTTGCTCTCCAATGAGAGAGTCGTCGTCCGTCGTCGCGAGTGTCGTCTTGTCGTCGCGCTGTCGCAACTCAGCCACCATTCGCTCCTCAATCGCGTTCAGACACTGTTCGCCGTCACAGACGTCGCGCGCCAACTCTCCGTCGCAGTTGATGGCGAAGACGTCGATGTCGTCGCGCGACAACAGCAGACGAACGACTTCCACGTGACCGCAACTAAGGACGACAGGGGGTAGACATGAGGACGACAGACGACAGGGCGTCGCAGTCATGGCATACCTGGCCGACGCGTGCAGAGGCGTCCAGCCCTCGTTGTCTTTGCAGTTGGCGTCGGCGCCGTTGTCGAGGAGCCAGCGACACATCGCGAGGTTGTCGTCGATCGCCATCTGATGCAAAGCCGTCAGACCGTCGCCGGTCGTGACGTTGACGTTGAGGTCACGTGTCGTCCGCAACAGTCGCTCGCATTCGTTGACGTCGTTCTGCGCGACGGCCGACAGGAAGAGCGTCGCCGACGAGAACTGCACTTTTGGCGTCGCCTGCGGTCCGCCTTTGGGCGCCTTCTCGGCCTCCGATTGCGTCCATTCCGTCCACCGTTTCAGCTGAAGAGCCCTCCGCTGAAGAGCGTTCTGTCCGCGACTCTGATTACTCGCGGCGTCCGATGCGGAAGAAGTCATCTCTTTTGACAACAAGTCCTCCATTTGTCTGTCTGTGCGACGCATGCGTACGACAACTCTCGCTGTGTTCCTCTCATCCGAGCGCTCTTCCGAACGCCTGTCGACCGAAACGCCGCCGAAAGCGACTCGACGTCAGCTCTGCGTCCGTGTCGTTCATCGCGTCGTCCGCCGCGTCGTCCGGACGTCGCAGTCGTCGCCCATCGCGTCGTCGCCACTGAGAGGCACACCCTTTGAGGCGAAATGCAAAACAATCCCAACAATCAGTGTCTCATAATCGCCACCAAATCGCTGCCCATCGCCGCCCCCGCGCCCCGACGCACGCCCACTGCCCGCCGCACCCCCGCCGCCGCCGCCGACGCCAATCTCATGTCGTGTCTCGAGTGCGGCCGACATTTCGTGTCTCTCGCGAAGTTGCGGTCGCACGAGAAGACGCACTCCAAGTCGCGGCCCTTCAAGTGCATCGATTGCGGCAAAACATTCACCGGTTTGTCGTCTTTGCGTCGTCTTTGTGTCGCTTCTCTGTCGCTAACTGTCGTCTCTCTCTCTCTCTCGCAGTTCGCTATTCACTCATATGTCACACGAGAACTCACACTCGCGAGCGTCCGTATCAGGTATGTATCGCTACGTCACGTGACTTCCACTCGAGTCCACTCACTCTCTCCCTCCGCAGTGCTCGTCGTGCGGCTCGCGCTTCACTCAGGCCTCGAGTCTCAAAACGCATCAAATCTATAAACACACGAAACAATTCCCGTATGCGTGCAAACAATGCGGACGCGGATTCATATCTCCCGGACAACGACACGAACACGTGTCGCGCACTCATCTCAAGGCCAACGCCGCGGCCGCGGGGGTCGGAGGAGGCGGCGCCCGCAAACCCCGCGCCCACAAGTCGGCGGCCGTCGCGCTGGACGGCGGCCCATCCGCGTCTGCGCCCGCGATCACGATGTCGTCGGCCGTCGCGTGCCAAACGGCCGTCTCTTTACCGCCTCTTCTCTAATGTCTAGTCTTTTCCGAAGATTTTTATTTAAATTTCAGTCATTTTTTCGTTTGATTTTGTTTTTAGTTTCAAATCATTTATCAATAAAAAAGTCATTCATTTCTATATTAAAGTCATTTAAGTCGCGGCCAACCCCTCCCTCCTGCGCCTCCCGCGAGTGGGCGTCGGCCGCCCGCCCCTCCACCCCCTCTCAGCGCGCGAACGTCTTTTGTGAGCAAAAAAGGGATGCGTTTCTATGGAAACAGAAAAAACGCGAATTTGATGTGAATTTTGTTTACGAAAGGAATGGAAAACCAAACGATAAACAAATCATGTTTTCTGAATGGAGACAAGAGGTCAGTATTGTTGGGCTCTTCGCGAGCAAACAACTCAACGCTTTGTCTCTCTTTCAGTTCGATCGCAGACTTCGAGACGTCCGACGAGACGACGCTGTCGTTGCCGTCGCTCTCCGTCGCCAACAACCGACTCCTTGCAGACGACTCGCGCGTCGCCGCCGACGACAGACGACGACACGACCAGAGGATGACTATCAGAGACAGCGAACAACTCGTCGAAGAACTCAAGAGAGAGAACTTTAATCTCAAACTCCGGATCTATTGTCTGGAGAAAAGCCAAAACCAAAACACTTTTGACGCCAATTCGGGTCTCAATTGTCGTCCATTTTGTCGTCTTTTTCTGAACGCATTTTCTCTCTCTTCAGAAACCATTCAAACGTTTGACGAAATAAAACGCCTCAACAATGAGTTCAACCAATTGTCGCGCGATTTCGACGAAAGCAGACAATTGTCGCTCCAATTGATGTCACATTTGTTCCAATTTTGTCGTCTCTTTCGTCGCGAAGACGACGACGACAACAATGAGGACGACAGACGACGCGAACAGCGATTGTGTCGTCTTTTGGACGCCTCCGAAGACCTCCTCAATTGCGCCTCCATTTTGGTCACAAGTGAGTTGTTTTTGTCTCGCGTTTTGGCGCTAAAAGCCTCTGACGTTGTGTTTGCAGAGCGCGAGAGCGGCCGCCACGCCCTCGAAGGCACTGTCGGCCAAAAGGGGCGCGAAGGGGGCGTGTCTTCGGCTGAGTCGGACGACATTTGGTCGGAACCCGATCGGGACGCGTCTCGCGCGCGCATCGGCGCCATTGCGACGACACATACCTCTCCGTCGGCGTCGGCGGGCGCGCGACACGTGAGGCCGCGCGGAAAGCGGCGCCACAGCGGCGGCGGCGGTGAGCACGAGATCTGTGTTTTTGGCGCGTTTTCGATTCACTCTTTGACTAACCGTTGATTGCTTTGTCAGCCAATCAGATGTCGTCGTCTTTGGCTTTACTCGATTTGGACTCCAATTCGCGCCAAAGTCGGCCGCCGTCGAGACCTCTACTCAAACACAACCCCTCAATGACGACAAATGCGTTCAGACGACGACCACAACGACGACGCGCGACGACAATCACAACGACCTGTCGCTCGCGTTGTCGGACGTCGACGACGCCTTCAGTCAGTTCGACGTGAGAACGCGCGCCAAAGCGGACGCCGCGGGACGACAGCCGCGAACGACTTCCGGCGCCGACTCGTTGTTCGCGTATTTCGCGTCTCTGTCGCCAATGAGTCGCCAAAAAGAGAACAAAAGCCAAACAAAGCCAAAGAAAGAGGAATTTGTGCCAAACATCGCGCTGTCGTCGCACTCGTCGTCCGTGTCGTCGATCGTCGCGAACCGAAGCGACGACTTGAAGGCCGAGACGTCTCCCGATTTGGGAATCGCGGACTTAAGGGACGAGCGGCGCGTTCTCGTGCGAGTCAAACACCTCAAGCGATTGCGACGCCTTCTGGCGGACGCCGTGACGACGAGCGCCGACCCTTCGGTGCGCCGGGCGCTGGCGGTGACGCGCGAGTGCTGCGAATCGGCGGAACGCGCGGACGACGAGTTGTCGCGACTGAAGAGGTCTAAGGAGCGAATGGCGCGCGAGATCTCGAAATCTCTGAACAAAACCGAAGAATTGTTAACAAAAACTGAATTAAATTTAAAATTAAATTAATTTTATTAAAAGAAAAAACATTTATTTCTCTTTTCTATAAAAGCGAGAAAAAAACGAATTTTTGGACTTTTTATGGATTTTAATGAAAACCAAAGGATTGTTGAGAAGACGAGACATTAAATACGAAATGCTTTTGTGTTTTGTTTTCAAAAAAATGTTTTTCTTTTGTTTTTGAATACAAAATGAAATAATAATAAGATTTTGTGTAATATTTAAGTCAATAATCAATCGATGATTAAATACAATCGAAAATCGATTCGGCGGCCGACGCGCCTCCCGGACGACGCCCACCACTACTACTGGTCGTCCTCCTCGTCGTCGTCGTCGTCATTGGCCGCCTCGTCGTCATCATCGTCGTCGGCGTAGTCTTCGGGCACGACGTCGTCCTCTTCATCGTCCTCCTCGTCGTCCACGTCGTTGCCTACGAGACGACAGCAGAGCGACAGTCAGTCAGAGCGCGCACTCATAGCAAGGGTTCAACGCATTCATCGCACTATCGATGCGCCGATCGTATCGACAATCGCGAGAAATAGCGCTCTTTGGGCGACGAGAAGGCCCTTCAGTGCACGCATTGGCGTTGCGTTCGCTGCGACAAAAGGGCCCAAACGTCGCCTCACAGGCAGACAGAGACAGGACTACAGACCGGCTTCGGCGGCGTCGTTGGACTCGTCTTCGGTTCCGTTTTCGCGAGTCTTTTGCTTTTTCGTCGAATTGTTCTCTTCCTGCGCCTCGAGAACGGAATTCGAGTCTTCGCTGAACTGAAATCGCATTTTGGCGTCAAATGAATGAATAAAAAGAGAGAAAAACACTTCAATTCAGACCTCATTCGCCGTTCTCTTCAGTGAGTCGTTCTTCGCCGAGTTGTTCGTCTCCTTCAGCGGCGACTCTTCGGCCGACGAGTTGTTGTTCTGTTGAACGACTGGTTCTCCCGATTCTGAAGACATTTTCTGCGGTTTTTTGCGCCAAAAGAACGGTTTGTCGCGAAAAATGCTTTCCTTTGAGACAAAGAGTGAAACAAATGGCGAAACGATTCGAACCAACGATCGCTCAAACAATCGCCAAAAGCCTGAGCGCCGGCCCTCCGAAGCAGCCAATCGCAGACGAGGACACGCCCCCCGCGCCGGCACTCAGCCAATCGCACGCCGCCAGCTATTGCCTTCATCTCACATCAGAGGCACACCCGCCAGAGCCAGAGGTGCGCGCCGGCAGATGGCGTTCGCGGCGCCAAACAAAACACGAGAAACACGGTTCGCAACGAATCTCTTTATTTTATTCCCCAAAACGCGTCCAAAAGCCGCGAAACCCGCGAAACAAACCCTTCGGTGACCACTGGGTGTCCGGACGGCTGTCGCGCGCTCTCACTCGGGCCCACACGACGTCCTCTCGCGCGCAGCAAATGGCGTCTCAATCGCAATAACACTCGCTTTCAATGCTTTCAACGCTTTTATACATTGAAAGCATTGAAAACTCTGCCATTCCTTCACTCGACGCTCGCTCTCCGCGCAGCCAATGACTGCCCGC